TCTTTTTTCTACTATTTAAACAAAAAATTTGGTAAAATATTCATAAATTTTTGTTTTAGAGATATATAAAATTTTAGATTTATCATACAGAAAAAATAGCAAAGACAAAAAAAGGAGAGAAACCATTAAAGCTATGCTAAGAATGTATACTAACATACATTCTTAGCATAGCTTTAATGGCAGAAACTACAACAATAATATATCTTTTAGAAATCAAATTATTCTGAAATTTAAATACTTAGATCTCACACAGGTCATATTTCTGTAAATTAGTAATTTTCATAAAATAATAAACTCTGTAATACCCAATGTTTAGGAGCACATATTAGAGATTAAGAGATAATAGTTAAAAAATAACTTCTATATAATAACAAACAATCTATGTTAGTTCTTTAAGAAACATTCAATATCTGACTGAAAATTTTAGATTCAGTCAATATTGTTTTGGAAACAATCTGAATTTGTCACTTATGGCTACTAAAAACAGTTTTGAGAGAATGTGAAAATTTTGGGATTATTTTCCATATTAAATTCATTGTTTGCTTTCCCCCCAAAAAAGGAGGGGGTGGCAAATTTGAAAAGAAAATATATTTTACAAAAAGAAAAGCAAACTAAATCATTCTGTACCAATGATAATAATGCATGATGTTAAAGCACCATTATTCAATGCTTACAGCAATGCTGCAAATTTTCATAAAAATGTCAATAAATATATCTTTTAACGTGCTGAATGCAGGAATCTTAAAACTGCACATTTGTAAGAGTATGAGAAAAATCATCAACTGAGGGGTCTGAGCAGTATAATGCATTTCCATTCATCAAATCACAAATAAAAGCATCTACATGGAAAACAATATCTTAATATATTATCCATAAAAAATGGCTTGGTATGCATTTTGTATTAAGATAATTTTCAAATGATTTGCATAACTAGTAAAAGAAGGAAATTTTTATTATAAAATCTCAAATAATGGAATCTTTTTGTATAGAATGAGATACTGTAGCAATAAATTTCCTATTATGCACTTCACAAAGTATTTCATATTGAAAGGAAAAGAAGTAAGATATGTGATAAGATTATTCTTTGTTTACCAATCCTAAAATGTAACTTAAAAACTATCTGAAAACCTCTGCACATTTTTATATTAGTTCAAAGACTTTCCTGTTCATCATGCTTTAGAATTTGTGAGAAATACTGCTTAAGATAATTCTAACTTTATAAGGTAATAAGCAAATGGTTATTTATAATTTATTCAGTGATTAATTTAGCAGTTTTAAAAGAACACATGAAGCGGTGTAACAATAATTAAAATACTACATTTCCAAAGAAGACATACAAATATTACTTTCAAATCACTGCATAGTAGGTGCCACTTAATGTGATCATGTTTTTTCATATCTATTTTCATAATATTAGCAGAATAATAACATTAATTTTAAAAAAGCACTTCAGAATGAAAATGGAATTTAACTAATTTAATTAAAAAATATCAAGAACACAAGTATTTTCACAGCATTTTAATTAGAAAATGCAAAAATGTGTTTGTGAACTGCTCATAATGTTCCTGGATATTATTTTACTGCTTCTGTACACGTAATCTTAAAATTAAAAATGCATCTTTTGTTTGAAGACTGCCAGTGTAAAATTAAGCAAAAATGCAACCATTATTTGCCATCAGTGTTTTCAGGATTTTTTTTTTTGGGGGGGGGGGAGTGGCTTCTGAAAAAGAAAGGACTTATGTGTGATTGTTCTTAAAATCAATAGAGTTCCTCATAGGATACGTCAAACTAAAGTTGTTGTTTTTTTTTTAAACCTGATTTTAAATAAATGACTAAAGTTGAAATCAAGGTGTTTGGAAACCTAATCTCACACTTCGCAACATTTCCGTGTCACCTGACAATTTTTTAAAATCTATTTTAATCTAATTTGGCAATGTTAAATTTTAAAAATCCATTCTGTATGAATCTGGACATATTAACTAAATTGTTGATCACAATAAACAATATTAACTGAATTGTTGATCACGATAAACAAAGTATTTTCCAAGTTTTCATATACAAATGAGTGAGACTTCACCACATCGATGACAATATCCAATTAATAACATTAACCATGACCACAATAAGCAGCGTCTACTGTATTCTTTTAAGTTACATAATGCACTTTTTTATCTCTCTATACTTTGTATATAGCTATAAATTACATGTCTAAATACGTTGAAAAAAAAACTTGAGAAGAAAATACAGAGCAGGATGCAATGTTAGCAAATACAGCATTCAGAATTTTTTTCACATGTAAATTTAAAAAAAAAAAATAAACATTGTTATTGTCAAAATTTATTAGCATAACACAGCTCAATGCATAGTGGAACCTCAGGTTACAAATATGTTTCACGATGAACAAATTTCCTAACCAAAAAAAAAGAACTGTCTCGAAAGACAAACATACAAGCTATCAATAAATGAATTTCCTACATGTTTTGAGGTCACTTCTAACAAAAATGAGCAGTTTTAATATTCTCTATTATTCAATTTTCATGGACAAAGCCTTGTAATACATAACTAATGAAACAATGAATTCAATCTAGAAGAAATTATTACCAGAGATTTTGAAGAAGTTGACAGTTAAGGATTTTTCTGTTTCTATATAATGCCTAAATCCTTTGACGCGCGGTGGTCGTGCCCTGAAACCACCAATTTTGGAATTTTTTTTTTTCTTCTTTCCGAAATTTTTGAATGAAAATTGATTTATTACTGATCTTTTACCAGAGAGTTTTCTCTGACCTCAACACACTTGCTCCCCAAGCTAGTATTGTGATTTTATAAATTATTTCCTGTGGTTTAAATTTAATGTAAATATACTTTGCTATAATAAAAATTGAAATCGCTTAAAGTTTTATTTAAATTAAAAATATTTTCTGAATATTTTGGGATGAAATATGAATAAAATAAGTATGAATGGGAAACGAATGATCCGTACCAAAGCCAAAAAAGACCAAGCCCTCCCCATTAACATAAAAAACCACAAACGTCATCTGATGAAAAGAAACTAAATAACACTGGACATATACCAGTGAAATTTAGATCCAGGCAGTGTATACTTTGTAGCACAAGGAAGAAACCTCATAGAAGATACATGTGTGAAACATGGAATGTGAGTCTATGCATGTACCAAAAAGACAAAACATGCTTTGAACAGTGTCACAAATTTTTTTTTTCTTTGAAATTTAACAACAAAAACACTGATTATTTTTTTAATCCTTATTTTACTGAGTTTTTTTACTCATTTAGCCAAACGTCCTTATTATGTAGGTACTTATATTTTCACTGCTACAGAAAAATTACATAAATGTTTATTTTTAAATTTTTCTGACGATTTACCTTGTAAAATAATGTTAAAAAAATTATATATAATGCAATTCTTACATACATTTTTTTTTTTTTTAAATTCGTAATTTTCTATTAATTCAGGATATTTGTTAAGTTTGCGGGAGTATAATGGAAAAGTAACCCTTTTTTCTATCAGCAAGATTTATTTCTATTTCATTTTAAAGATTAATAACAATATTTCTTCCCTTTTCATTTCTCATTATCTTGTAATTATATCACCAACTCTTTTTAATACATGTATATTTCTCTACTACTGAACTAGTTTCTTTCTAGTTTAGATTTAATGATTTGCACTGGTTTTTCAATTGTAAACTGGTGCAAATGTTACCAATGCAAAAGTTTAAAATCTGCAATCATCTGAGGCGAAGGAATGAATCAATAATATATTTTACAGAAGTTCCTAAAGGAGAATTAGGTTTGGTTTACAAAGATTTCAGATGACCTCTAGGAACAAACTATATTCGTTAACTGAGGTTTCACTGTACTTACAGACAATTTAGATACTGAAGTTACATTTGAAGATACACACATAAATCCAAATTTCATATATATACATAAATAGAAATTTCATATATATACAGAGAGAGAGAGAATTAAATTACATGAACTTTTGTAAAATTCAACAAATTACATTACATTACAAAAACATTAAAATCCAACAAATAGTAATATAGCAAAAATACAAAATCAAAAACTTCTCACACATACTCTTTACATTAATATATTTTTCTTACAAATAATACATATAATATATACAAATAAGACTTTTTAGTGTAATTTAATAATTTTTTTCTTTCCTCTACGTCTGTTTTTCAAGCTGTTATTTATACTTTTCAGCTTATAATATATCATAAGCTGAGCATATGAACTGACAATATATTCCCACATTTTTACTGCATGATAATGGCATGTAAGCCATTCATGATCAATTAGTTTCAGTTGGGATATAATTTTGGATTTCACATCTTTTTGGCTACATATTTTATCAAACAAAGTTACAAATTTTTCACCCATCTCACAAACAGTAAATGTAAACTGTTGTGAGGGGTAACACAATCCATTTTTCACTACATCAAATTCTTTAAAATACAAAAAGTAAGTGTGTTCACCCAAAGATTTATCAACAAGAAGAATATTCTTACATAAAGTGCAAGGAAATTGCTTCAATGCCCTTCCAGCAATATATCCAGCAACATAAGCTGCTGAATTTTGTGAAAATACATCATATGATGTACTTGCAATACAAGCACTAGTATCAGAATTTTCATTTGCTACCAATAAGGGATCATCAAAGTCAATTTCCATATCATTTACATCACTGCCATTTCCAGGCTCAGTGTTATCGATAACTGTCAGCAACTCTGTAGGTATCAAAACTGTATCGTTATCAGGTTCACAGTTTGATAGCTTACTTGTGCTTATGATATTCTGTGCCATTAGTATTCTCATCCTCTGTTGAAAATCATATGCAGTTGGATGGTCATTATTTCCACATCTGCGTCTAACAACAGAGAAAAAATTTTCCAAGGCATCTTGGGTGAAACGACACATTAATACAAATGGTACATCTTCCAATAGAACTGGAATTAACTGCTGAACTGCTGATAGTGTTAATTTCCAGCCAAATATACTTGGGAAAGATATTTTTTTTTTTCTGTTTGAAATTCAATGCCTTTGATGAAATCCATCTTTTCCTTCCAGGTTTTTAAGTGAATCGATGACTTGGTAACTCCTGCAAGAAAAGGATTAGAGTGCTTAAGTGTTCTACTGTTCAAACTGTCAAATAAAATATTTATGTTTGAACAGAAATCTGCTGTAAGACTAGCCGATGCGGGTAAGCCATTTAGTGCACTAAGGTAACACAGGCCTGAAGCCACAGAATGACTGAAGACCTGAGCTGCTAATTTTACACTCATAGCACTAAGGCAATCCACATTTACATGGCGGTCTGTTAATTTCGGAACACATCTGTGAGGCATTTTACGATCAAATTCCCACAAAGATACAATGTGGTTCCAACTAGCAATTTTGCCACCCTGAAATTTAACATCATACTTTCTAAAATTATTTCGCAAGCACTTCAAAAGGTGAGGCACATCAAAAAGTGTGAATACCTTTTTGTCTTGACATATAATATATGGTCTTTCTTCTGTGACTTTCATAAATTTTTTGTAACAAACTACATTGTTTGCACCACCATCACAAACAACAGCCACAGGTATCAAACCACAATCAAATAATTTTGATAGGGCTTCCATGACCAAAGTACACAACATAAAACCTGGAGTAGTGTGAGAAGAAAAAAAAATAGCCAATGACCTGTTTCCACTTTTTACACAGCCCACGGACCATAAAAACAAGACCATGAGTTGCATATTCGGGAAACATTTTTAGTTCAGTGTAGGAACCATAATTTTCAAATCCAACAATGTAATCACTTTTCTTATCATAAGATAAGCTTTGCTTTAAAGTGATTTCATCGAAGGATAAGATGCAATACCTGTCATGGATTTTCAGTTTGCTAGCAACTAATTTTATGGCATTGAGCACAGCAACTGAAAATCCAGGTTCCATTTTTATACCAGATACAGCTTTCAATAATGTAGGCTTGCTGGGCAAATGCAAAAAAGCCTTCAGTGTATTATATGATTTTGGACTACTAAGATAGATCTGAAGGCACAAATTTTTATCCATCAGTGACCATCTTCGTCCGTATTTTGACACATTTGATGCTTTTATTTGTGATTTTATAAAAGTGAAAACTACAGAACTAACTAATGAGCTAATCAGCTGGAGTGCCTTTTCGACTCCAGCTTTGTTTGCTTTCCTTTTTGCTGAATGTTTTCGTTTTAAATATGCCAGCTTATGACTTAACTGCCTTATTTTTAAAGATTTTGGTGTTAAATTTTTGTTGCATTTTAATCTTTTTGGTGTCTCGGTGATATTATTTAGTTCTATGGAGTGCTGGTGTGAACCAAGTTCTAGAGAGCCAGAATCTGTTTGTGAAGTGCCAGAATCTGTTTCTGCCAAAGGACTTGAATTATCATCGATACTGATTGCATGCTGCTGCAATTTCGAGCACAACTTCATAGACAGCTGATGAACATTTACAACTCTGTCGTTTCTGGACAGCTCATCAGCTAGGAAGGAAAAAGAAAATTTATATATATATAACAAGACTAATGCATAATAATTCATAATATAATCATTATCAATTAATTATTTTATGAATATTTCATCTCTAAACAAATAAATATTTAACTAACCTTTAACACGGTTTGACATTTAGTTTTAAGAAAAGAAGTTTTGGTTAATCTTCGGATTATGGTAACTTGGCGATTTTTTGGCGACCAACCCTGCTAGTTGTTTTTTTTTTTTTTTTTTTTTTTTGGACGCCATTTTGTTTTGACAAAGTAAAGGCATTTTTTTTTTTTTTTTTTTTTTTTAACTACTCAACATTTTTTTCCAACAATTTGCTAGCCGAATTACGCTTATGCTAGAACTTTTATGGAACAAAAGTGCTTAATCATCACGAAGATTAGGTGCGAAATTGGGAGAAAGTGCAGAATCGCCCACTGCTTGCAGCGTTAAGAATTGCACATACACGGTATCATCCATGTATACGTCGATCTATTTTGACTTAAAAAAACATCACAGAATTGCACAAAAATGGCATTGCGTACACTCTTGACTTTATCCATTTACACTGCTAAAGTCCTAGCTAGTAAACTTTATCGCCTTACCAAAATGTCGCCAAACTACCAGTTACCATATTCCAAAGATTAGCCGAAGTTTTAATTTTATTTTTAATTATCGTTAATTTCATTTATCCTGAGTTTGTAAATCTGATTCAAAGCCTAAAATTATACTTTGCGTAAATATATTCTGCTACATCATATTCTAAGAACATTCTGCTATATCCATAAAGGATTTACTAAGGAAAATTTAATGGATTTTAAAAAAGGGTTACTTTACATTCTCTCATACCAAAATTGACTATGTAAGAAACAGCAGAAGAGTCCTTTCATAATAAATAAGTTTATATTATTTATGTAAACAAATGAAATTTCTGTGGGAGATTAAACTAAATTATCCTTCAGAAAAAGATTTATCACTCTTTTTAAAGACAGCAGACTACTCTCTTTCTAAGATAACATAGTAAGTTGTTGATCAGTACAATATATAAGAGGTTAAATTTTTAAAAATTTTTGAAATATATAAACTTGAAATTAATGCATACCTGTTTCACCAAATTTTGTTGGTTTAGCACTCGAATGCAAAAAATGCTTCTTAGTTGTGGAATATGCATTGTCTTCAAAATGTGCGGAACAAAGACGACTTCGATATAAAAGAGAAGGTGGCTTCTTTAATATTTCCTTGTCACGTCCAATCAAGTAAATTCTACATGCTTCAAGCCATTGTGCTGATCTATAAAAGTTAAAACAACATGAAATTTACACCTACTTTACACAGGGAACACTAGTTTTAAGCATTCATTTAAAATGTAACTTATTACTGTGCAAAACAAATACATATTTTAGTTTTTCCAGAAATTTGACATGTAGATAACATTTAAGTACTAATTTATGTACAAAAAAATTAATATTTATGCATTTTACTCAAACTAATGTTAAATTTTTAAGCATTCTGCTTATGAAAAAATTCATTTTAGCTGATGCATATATTCAACTAATGCTTCTACGATTTTGTAATATTTACATATAAATATTTATTACTATTGTATATATAATTAGGCTAAACAGATAAGGCAACATTGAATATCACACAAAGTATGTTAATGAATATAACGTTTTCATTTGAAAAGGAATAATTTTTTTAAATAACAGAAAGTTAAAAAAAATTTCTTCATCTGTCATACTGTACTTATTTTCATGCATTTTAAATACTTATAACTTAAAATAAAAATTAAATTTTTACCTCTCTGGATTTTTAGGAAACCGAAAGAATTTTCTTTCAGGAAAATACCAAGAATTGGCATTACACACCACACAACGCACATAAGCCTTTGGTGAAGGATCATTTAACCTAAATGAATTATTATTATAAAGATTTAAATCACATCAGTACAGAATATATAAAAATTGAATATAAAAATAAAATATGGATATTTAATAATTAATTTACAGAATACATTTAAGTTGCAAGGTTGAAATAAAATAAAAAAAAGAGCCAATGAATATCATGACACCAGAATTATGCAGCTAATTTACTTTAATAATTTTATTTTTAAAACTGGAAAAATTATTAAAAAATTAATTTAAAAAATAATTAAAAATTGGGATAATATTGCAGTTCTTAGTAGCAAAAAAATGATATCTGTGAATAGTTTATTATAAAGATTCTTTGATTATAAATAATGCTCAATGTATAGAATTAGAAAATATCATGAACTAAAAAATTGATACCTGGTTAAACGAAAATAGAAGAAGTTGCAATATACATTACATATAACTGCAGGAAAGATCGGATATGAAGAACTGAAATAATTTTCATTAGCAATCATAGTAAATCATCCATGATTGCTTGATTTTATCCTCGCAATTATATACAAATATACTAATTTTGCGTAAGAAGCTTTGATAGAGATTTTTCGAAATACTTCTGATTTCTTTAACAGTAGGAATTATAATTTTTCAATAAAATGTTCCAATGAAACTTTTAACTTTTTTAATGCCAACTTAATTAATAATCGTTCATTACATGATATTTGATTACCATCCCATGTTATGGAATGGATTTGAACATAACTCTGGTAATTAAAAAATAATTCTACTATGAAAAGGTATAAGAATTAAATATTTTTACGTACCTTTCACACGCAGGATCACTAGAGCGTGATTCATTATTTTTTTCCATTTCCAAATGTTCAAAATTGCTGAAATCCTCGTGCTTAGCGTTCAATATGGCGCGCTATGACGACTTCTACGATGTTGTTGACAAACTCTCTGGCTCTAGCGCGCATGCGTGAATGAATTTCAGAGAACCTGAATTTACGCCTGTAAAGTTGTCAAAAAAGACACATTTTAGACTCAGTTTTTCTCCGTGGCGTTGCTGTGCAGTCGAAGCTTGACTTCTTCTCACTATAGTTTTTGCACAACCGCCTTCCCCGGCTCCCGCGAAAGTTCCCTTCTAAAACCCTCTATTTTTAACCTTAGAAAACAGGGTAGCAGAGAAAAAGCCACACATCTTCTTGCTTCTACTCGCCATGTTCCGTATCCGAATACGGTTGTGAGATAAAACTTTACACCCAGCTTGGGATTTTCTAACATGCCTTATATTTCCATTGCAAACGAAGGGTGACTTTTTTTCCGTTCCTTATTTTCGGGGATATCTTTCCTTTTTCCCTTTTTCCGGGTGACCTTTTTTCCTACAACCATCTAACATCTACGGCCTTGAAACAGCATCTACGGCTTTACGAACTGGGAATATGATTTTACAAATTATTATTAATTAGGAGTATGATATACGGCTTTACGAATTGGGAATATTATTTGCCTTACGATTTGGCCTTGCCTTTACGACGAAAACGGTTAAAAAAGTAATCGACGTAACCTCTACATTGATATACATATTGCACAATTTTCCCAAAAAGCTAGTTTAAATTTTATATTGTGATTATTCCATATAACACAATCGCATGATTAATTCTATTAAATTTAAATCTCTTTTATAGAATATTTCACATTTAGTACATCTGTGTATAACAAATTTTATTAAATGTAAGGCTGTTAAATGTTAATTTATTTTAAAAGTTACATAAACTTGTGGTGATATTTATGATATGATACTAAATAATTTGTTTTAAATTTTGGAAGAATAAGAAAATAGACATACAGTTTCCAGAAATATTTATTTTTTTCTGGAAACATGTTTACTGGAACACTTTTTCTAGGATAATTTTTTCAGGGACATTTTTTTCGAACACCGTGCGTAATAACAATGCCATGTGCAATAGATTTTCGTATTGATAATTTTTTATGAAATAATGACAGTTGCTCATTTATTCTCACTTCCTGTTATTTGAGGTAATCCACATTACCTTAAATGGTGGTCGAATTCCACACGAAAAACTAATAATGTAACGAAAAGCTAATGAAACAAGACTTAATTACTGCAAACCTACATAAAATATTTATCAGGA